GAGACACCTGTACACCAATGTTCATTGCAGCACTATTCACAATAGCCAAGCTCTGGAAACAACCCAGATTCCCTAAAAGTGATGAATGGATCAAGAAATTGTGGTATATATACACAATGGAGTATTACTCAGCCACAAGGAATAATGACATGGAGTTTGAAGGTAAATGGATGCAATTTGAGAACATCATGTTAGATGAAATTAGCTAGGCTCAGAAACACAAAGGCCACATGATTTCTCTCATATGTGGAAAATAGATCCAAAGATAAACATATACACAAAAACAAGCATGATCATATACAAACTCAGAAGTAGAACATGTTTGTAATAGTGGAACTATTCTATGGAACTCTGGGAAAAAGGGAAAGGAAAGGAGAATGATAGAACATCAGTATTCATCTATCGCATAACATAAGATGTGAAGATAGAGGATACAAGGATATATGTTGAAAGCTGTTGAAAAATGGTGGGTGGGAGGTAAAGGGGTAAGGGAGAGTAATGGAAGGGGTTCAATAGACCAAAGTAAAGTATACCCACAGTGGGCATTCCTTGAGACACCACTTTGAACATCAACTCAAATATTAATAATGAAAGACAGGACTGTAAAATAGGTGCAGTGTGTGGGGGGAGGTACCGGTGGGAGGGGGAGGGTGAAGGAAGGAGATTAAGGTGACAGTTGTGGTAGATGGACTTCATATACCTTTATGAAACAGAACTAAGAAACCTCTTGCAATTGCTTTCAGTGAGGTGTGGAGGGGGTTGATGGGGAGAGACGATGGGGGCAATGTAAATAATGTACAATATGAGTTTAATCAGAATTGTCACTATGAACCCCCCCTAAATAATGAACACATCTTAATAAAAAATTTATATAAAAAAGGTTCTTGGTTCAAAGCTCAGTGCTACAAAAAACAAAACAAAACAAATAAAACCAACAGAAAAAAGTGTTCCACCTCCAAAAAAAGTATTTGGGTATGAAAAGAGCATTTAACTGTCATAGAGATGCATTCCAGTAACAGCCTAACTGCAGCAAACAAAACAATTCATGGGTTAGTAGGATAAAAATCATAGCACTTTTAAACTGGTCCCAGTTGAAACTTTCATTTCAAAAGGTGAGATAGAATGACTTGCTGAAGGTCACTCTATCTTATAACTAGCGTGTCAGAACAGGAGCCAACACAAGAGGCTCGAGGGATATTTGAGATAGTACTGCTGATCCTATCTGGTCCTGGTAATGAACAAGCACACATTCTAGCACATACTATGTAATGACTAAAAATATAAACTACAGCTGTCACAATTAACAGATTAGCATTAAATGATACAAAAACAAACAGAGAATGCCTGTTTATTAGCAGGGCTTATTAGGGGTGTCACTGAGACACTTCAAGTGCTAAAAATTGCTCTTCTTTCCTGCTGTTAATTTGATCACAACATTACACACTTCCATCTGATCACAAAAGGCTGAACTTCAATCATTTCAAGTTAGTTGATTTTAGCTTGCAGTTTATGCACAGTTATCCAGAACACTTATTTCAATAAAAATTTTACTCACTAGCTATTATGGATGGGGTTACGTTAGATATTTGAAGAATGAAAAATGAGTAAGATAAGCTATTTGGATCAGCAAATGCTTTTGAGTTTCTTCTATGTGGCAGGCACTGTTCTAGGTGCTAGAAAACCATAACAGTGCCTTAAACCCAAAAATATTCATTCTTGATAAAAAGAAAGTCCAGAGGCTTGAGCTCAACTATGACCTCAGTGAACCAAATGGTTTCGGTCCTTCTATTCCCTTCTTTCTTTAGCATTTTTTCTTTAGGCTTTTTTCCTTATGCTTACAAAACACCTATTTTACTTCTAGGAATCAAGTTCTCACAAAACCATGTCTTTAAGCCAAAGGAATGGAAGTGTTGGAGAGACAGCTATTATTGGACTTTTTTTTTTTTTTAACACTTAAACACAGTTGCAGTTTCTGTGATGCTGAAACTATTGTAAGGAAGATTGGGAAAGGGATTATCTGGCTGAAGGGAGGAAAGTTTTGGAAAGGCTCTTTGGCAGCAACCAGTAGAAAATGCCATAAAAAGTAAACAAAACACAGCATCATAAAGCTAGTATTGTAGCAGAGGATATTCACAGCATAAAAATATGACTTGTTTGGACAAGTCATCAGGATTATCTGGTTAATTAGTTTAGATTCTAGAGTAACATATAAAGGGTGATGGAAGGTGAGAGTGATTTTAAAAAAGGGTCAAGAATAGCTTCCAGAAGCTCATAGTCTGGTAAACAAGGAGGAAATATGTAAAAGAAATAGTTAAAAATAAATACAGATATACACGTTTATTATATATAATAAACATATATAATCCAAAAAAGCTTATTGTATATATATAATAATAATATACATTTTATTTGTACACGTTTATTAGATATAAACATATTTACATTCATACACACAGAGTTAGCACAGTTTCTCCACTAAGAAAAACAAAGCATCTTTGAGTGCTTCTCTGGTATCTCCTACAAGTCTTACATAATATAGGAAGAAGCATAGGAATGTGGTCCATCTACCATCCTTAAAGAAACATTGGTGCAATACTGGACTATGTGGACATGAATATAGTTAACAAGCAATTCTCAGTTTCTGTAGGACTTTCTGTAGTGGGACAATCATAAATAGTGAGAATGCTGAAAGGTCCTACAAAGTCACATGACTTCAAATGGTGAGGCCTGAGGGAGTATTAGCAGTAGACAGACTTGTCTGGCAAGAAGCTGTCAGGTAGGGTAGCTGAATTCAAGCTTAGATTTTGGTGTGACTAAGGGGTAAGAGAAGGTAAGTTTCAGATAGTGAGGTCTTTGTATGGGGAAAGGACTGCTTGTCCTCATGACCCATGCTGGGACAGAACAACTGAGGGTTCTGTGTATTCTGAGGTCAAGTGTAGTTACTTTCCAGCTTTAATATAGCTGGATATATAAATATTGTTATATTTAATAATCTTAATTATTGAAGACAGTTTAATTGATTTCCATGCAAGAATGGCTGAAATTATCCATTCCCTCCATATTTTTATAAAATAAAAACATTCCCTCCATATTTTTCCGTGAATCCACGATACCACTTGTGATATCTCTTTTTCTGATAATTTTGTACTTTCTATAACTGTCTCAAAAGCAGACAAGCAAGTTTACTTCACCTATGGGTTTCAAAATACTTATATATTCTAACTTCACATGTCAATTTATGACTATATCAACAGTAATATGGTAATTAAAAACATCTACATCTCTATAGGAAGAAGCTTTTGGTTTCATAAAGAAAATAGTGTGCTGATGATGCCGTTGAGGCAACGATAATGATTTTGTTAGGATAAAATCCTGAAATAAATTCAAGAGAAATGTAGCCACCTTTACCCATTCACACGGGGTACCTGTTTGCCTTCTGCAGCTGTTTGCAGACTTACAATTACTTAGTAGTAACTTTAAATAATAGGCAATTTCCCACTTTTTATACCCATTGTAGTATACCTGTGCTGTTCAACACCAACATGGTAGCCATTTGGCATTTAAGTCTAAATTTAATTAAGTGAAATGAAACAACAATTTACTGCTCACAGCACAGTAGGTACAAAACCACACATGGCCATCATGCTGGACAGTACAGATCTAGAACAATTTTTTTTTTTTTTTGCAGTGCTGAGGATAACACAGGCTGTGGGGCATGCAGCTGTACCACTGAGTCACATGCCCAGCCTCAGATCTAATATGATTCTGTCATCACAGAGTATATTATTAGTGCTGGACACTATTGGGTTTATATAGTTGAATCTTGACAATTTAGAAATCCAAATAGAGATTCCTGGGGGATGATTTCCTCCTCCTCTCTCTTCCCTTCCTCTCCTCCAACTGAGATCCTCCTGCCTCCACCTCCAGAGTGCTGGGATTATAGGCATATCTCGCCATACCAGGTATCTGAAATAAATTTTGTGCAGTCCTTACACAGTATTGCCTCATAGACCAAGCAAGAAAAGCCTGTCCCTAGTCCTGCATTTTGGAGAACAACAATTTCACTCTACCTGCCTGGGGATAAAAAACATCTTCAGGGCCAGTACCCACAGGGCCAAGGGCTCAAATCTGACTCTCCTACCTACCATGTTTCAGGTAGAACTCCAAGTATTAGAGAATTCTGCATACAAACCAGGTCATTATGAAGGCACACTTGTCAAGGTAGAATAAAATGTATTTTGTCAGCTTGTATATTCCTTGTAAAACTTAAACATAGGGTAGGTGAGCCCTGGTCTTACAAATGTTAGGGTGTGGCTGGCGGCCTTAGATAAAACAGCAATACGTTCAGCTGAATTTTCTTGGCCTGCTTGTTCACTACTGTTACTAATCGGCTAACATCTGGCATCTTTTGACCCAGAGAGAAATCTCTTTCTGAAGGCTGCCATGCCAGCAAGGACCCTTGCATCCTTGTCAGGACCTCAGTTGTGACTGTTGAAGGATAGAAACAGCTTCAGAGTTAAGTTCATTGGAAAGGAACCTGTTTACTGGCTCTGAGACTTAATGACACTTGATCATAGTGAGGTGGGAAGGCGATTTCTTTCAAGATCCTTGGTTTAAAATACTTCCAACCCTTGGGTTGTGGGACAGAAATTCAGCCCTGGGCTAGGGCCTGGCTCCTCCAGTGCAAGGGGTGGCTTTGTCTGCAAGGCGACAGCAAGGGGAGACAGGACAGCAAGGGTGGCAGGGCAGCCACAGCGGCTGGAGTTTGGACTGGAACTTTCTGCTACCCCCACCACAGTATCATCTTCGCGCGGGTCCCGCACAACTCCGGGTCTCCGGGGGCGCACGGGGTGGCGGCCCGGGTCGCGGCTCGCGGATCCCCGCGCGCGCCTCCTCCGCCTCCAGGGCGAGGGAGCGCAGGGGCGGTGTCGGGGGAGGGGCAGGGCGGAGGCGGCGGGGAGGAGCCGCCGCGGGCCGGGCCGAGCCGGGCCGGGGGAGGTGGCGGCGGCTGGGAGGAGGAAGAGGAGAAGGAGGTGGCACTCCCACCGGGCTGTGCCGCGGCCCTGGGACCCGGCGGCCGTGACCCTTCGGCTCCTCCGAGCGCGGCCGCAACGGACAAAGGAGCATATCGGCGCCGAGGAGAGCCAGTTTCTCCGGCCGCCATGAGGCTCCCGGCGCCGCCGGGCCCGCGCCGCGCCCCCGCTCGCCCGCGCGCCGGAGTCGCCCGCTAGGCCAGTGCGCCGCCGCCGCTCGGCCCGCAGGCCCGGCCCGCAGCATGGAGCCGCCCGGGCGCCCACGGGGCCGTGCGCTGCTGCTGCTGCCGCTCGCGCTGCTCGCAGTGCTGGGAGAAGGAGGAGGCGGCGGCGGGGCCGCGGCGCTGCCCCCGGGCTGTAAGCACGACGGGCGGCCCCGAGGCGCCGGGAAGGCGGCGGGCGCCGCCGAGGGTAAGGTGGTGTGCAGCAGCCTGGAGCTCGCGCAGGTCCTGCCCCCGGACACGCTGCCCAATCGCACGGTCACCTTGTGAGTAGCCCGCGTGCGCCCGCTCCTCTCCCTCCCTCCTCGTCCTCTCCTATTTCTCCCCGCACAACTTTGGAGCGGGGTGCTGCGGGCATCCGCGCGCCTTTGTGTGAATGGAGCCGCAGGCAGGGGGTGGTGCGGGAGCTCAGCCCATGGTGGGTGCGCGACGTTCAGGGCCTGGCGAGTGGAGCTGCCTCCGAATGGTCTCTCCCCGCTCCGCTAGTTTGCAAAGTAAAGTTTTCGGGTTCCCCCGAGCGCCCCGTGCAGTCCCGGGCGCTGCGCTCTTGTGGCTGCGCCGAGCCACGTGAGGATGCAAGTCCACACGCTCCAAGCTCATTCATCCAGGACTTCCAGAAAACTGCCTGCCAAGAGTTAGTTCGTCCTGCCTCTGTGCAAATGAAGTTGCACCTAGGGGGTAGAGTTTGCAGAACACAAGGACTTGGAACGCCCCTGTGCGAGCCCCAAACCCTTGCTTTGCCATCTTCGTTTAATTACAGTTAGAGCACCTTTTAAGATAGAATTGTTACGAAGGGGTAGAAACAAGAGAGATTAAAAGTTGTGCCTCCGCCTTCCAGTTCCGATTTCTTGGCTGTGTAAAGAACCCACATTGAAAAGCCAAGAAACTTCGGAATTGCAAACTGCGTTTACTGAGTGAGCCTTCCATCTCGAGAAGCGTTTTGATTTTCGGATTGAATTTCCACCTGGAAGCAGAGATTTTGGTAACTCAATGTGCTAGGACTCACGGTCCGGTTGTGCAAACGTAGTTCTGCCAATTCTAGCTCAACAGTTGACCCCAGTGACTTTAGATTTTGTTTTTCTGAACGATGAATTGGTTTGGAAAAGTTGAAGTCTTAAGTGTTTCTAATGGATATTTTGTCAGACTGAAATATGAATCCCTGGGCTCCGTGTTTCTGTATGTTGTTTTGGTTGGTTTCCTAAAAAAGAATCAAGGCTGCCACTGTAAAAAAGGACAACAGGATAATTTATGAAACAACTCAAAATACGGTTTTTTAATATAACCCAAATGCAGCAGGAGGATATATGAGTAAGAGATGTAAATGTCATTACCGGCACCCTTGTTTACTCCTCATTTCCATTTATTTGAATTGGGAAACCTTTCACCCTGGAAAGCTGTGCATATGTGTGTGTTTCTGTTTATGAAAGCATGAAGGATGGGTAAAGTAGTTTTTGTTTTGTGTGACTTCTTTACCAGTACGTTTGTATTTGTGTCTTTCTTGGTCAGATGCTTTGAAGTGGAAACTTTGGGTATGGGACCTTAATTACAATCTGAGTCTAGTGGAGAAAACCCCAGCGTTGGAGTAGTCTCTTGTAATGCTGCAAAAATTAGTCACCATGCAGTGACGTTGTAAACATTTAGGTTTGGGGTCAGTGAATGGTAAGTTGGTTTGTGTTTAAGTCCAGTTTTTCTGAAATGTCAACAATTCTAGCTGGATTTGATGAACTACTTGTACTTTGTTGATTTGCTTTGAGGGGCAGAATAGGTGATTTTGGAGAAAGTAACTTTTTGGCATATTATCAATTAAAATTACTGTAAATTTTTCGTGAACTGATTAAAATGCAAGTGTCCATTTAAATCCAGTTTTTTTTTTATTTTGTATCTGAAAGTTCTTTAGATAGAAATAAAATTTACTTAAGTGAATGGTAAGGGGGGAAGGGGGGGAAAATGACCCAAACAATTGTTGCACATGTGAATAAACGAATAAAAATAAAAAAAAAAAAGAAGTAATTTAAGGGTCACCGATGTCAGTGTTTTGGATAAAGCAGGTTCGAGGTATTTCAGGCCTGGTATAAGGTCTTATGGGCTAGTTCTCATTTTACTAGCCAAGGAATTGGAGTCATTATGGATAAAGTGACAGAGTTCCCATAGTGATTTGGGGTGTGGGTCCTTGTCCCAGATTCTTGCTGTGCAGTTCAGATACCTTCTCACCTTTCCCACCTCCGTCATCATTCCTAACTCAGTTGTTTGTATTGATAGGTTCCTTGGTAGAGGACACAAGTTTTGGATTGGACTGTGTCTTAGTTTCCTAGGGCTGCTGCTGGTTACTGTGAACTTGGTATCTTGAAACATCACATTTATTCTCTGAACTCTGAAATCAGGATGTCAGCAGGGCTGTGTTCCCTCCAAAAACTTTATGCATCCTTCAGCTTCTAATGTTCCTCTTTGGCAGTTTAACTCCACTCTCTGCCTCCATCCTTACCTAGCTTTCGTCCCTGTTTGTCTTTGTGTCTCACGTTCCCTTTTATCTCTCCTGAGGACAACAGTCATTGAATTTAGGCTCCCCTTTTTTAGGGATCATCATCTCAAGATCCTTTACTTAATTACACCTGCAAACACCCTATTTCCAAATAAAGTTACAAAGGTGCAGTTAGGACGTGGACATAAATCTTTTTGGGAGACTTACACAGAGTAGAAATAGCACGGTCTAAGGCTGGGAATGTAGAGCCAGTTGTAAAGTGCTTGCCTAGTATGCACACACCCTGAGTTTTATCCCCAGCACTGCAAAAACAAACCAAAACTCATAATCTTTCTTTTTGCAGGAATTTGGGGAGGAGAATTTGTGAATACTGTCTCAGGATAGTGGTAAATGCTCTATTACTGGGGTGTAAATGTAGCAGAAAGAACCCAGGAGCAACCAAGGACTTTTTGGAGCATAGTTGGTGCAATTGGTGAGCCAAGGATTCTGAGCCAATTCTGGAAAAATGAGAGAGAACTGTGAAGAAAATACCCAATGGACAAGGAGAGGAAAAGAGGGAGTTGGGGGGGGCACCCCAGCATGCCAGGCTTGCAGAGGCCAACATTAAGTGGAGATGCAGTTGGAATTGTTAGAATGTCAAGGGCAAATGTCCAGTGCCCACATGGTCAGAGGAGAGGCTGTTTAGGTCAATTTAAGGATGGGCAGGCTTCCCGTTGAGTTTTTATTTCTTAGTTGTGGCCAAGGATTTTCTGTGAGTTGTGATGTGAAGGTGGGGTTTGGGAGGTTGTTGAATATAGATTTGTATTTGGTTTGATGCACTGGATTTTGCTGTAGCCTAAAGCTCAGACCATTCAACTGTATTATTAAGCAACAGTCTTTCCATAGCTGTTTACCAAAAGAAATCTGGTAGAAATCCTTTGCTTGATCACCAGGCTCTCATGTGCACTTGTATTGAAGGATTAAATTGCACTTATTATTTCACGGAATGAAAATTTGTCTGTATTTAATGCTTTTCAAGAAATACAAAATACTATATTCTTATGTTTTATGTGAAACGTTGCTCAATATTTTAAGCTTTAAAAATTCTGAGACTTTCACTAATAGAAAGTTTTGCAGCTTTAGCTCTGCTTTTCTATGTGTCTTCCTCATAATGCTTCCTGGTGATTCTAGACAAAGAAAAAAAATTTAAAAATTTGTCAAGGAACTTAGGAATAAGGTCCAGGTTTTTCTCAGAATGTTTAACAAAATAGTGCATGAATTTTGGTTTTCACTTAAGAAAAAGTTACGTTTGTTTGCTGTCAAAGAACTGATAATTATTTGGACATATCCGTTGTGGCCCAGTACCAGGTACAAGGAAAGGAATGTTTGTATTCAGAAGCATAAACCTTGGTGGAGAGAAAGGATTTGCACAATAGGAAGTCGACATTGAGGGTGCAATTAAAGAATGTCTGTAATTATGTAGTAAATCCTGCAGTGTAAACTGTTTCTGCCTTTTAGGAGACCAGAAAAGGGGAGAGGATGGTGTGATTGTGGATTCATTGAGAGGATTTTAATTTTCCCTGAGAAGTGAGAACTTGAGTCACCTGAAGGGAAGGGAAAGATTGGATTGGAGACAGAAAGCATGCTGGATAAGGGAAGGGGCTGGTGACTGGCCCCGCCCAAGTGGAGAGACTGTTGGGACACTGATGGAGAGGCAATGTCAGGACATTAACCAGCACATGATAGCTCAGATTCCCCTGTTTGGGGTGATTAGGGGAGAGAGGCAGGTAGGAAGGAAGAGGGATGGTGGGTGGGGGGGTAGGCATAAAACTCACTGGAGCACTGAAGAGCCTATAAAGGAGGAGACCTAGCAGGAGCAGCTGCTGAGGCAGGGGGAGCAAAGGGAGAACTTGGTCATAGAAGTCAAAAGAAATTAGTGTTTCAAGACAAAAGTGGCTTCCCAAGTGGAGAGATGCCAAGAGATCACAGACAGAAGTCCACGAATGAGCTACATGTAGTGGGGTCATACAAGTAACTCCACTTGCTCTGGAGGCAGAGATCAGGAGGATCACAATTCCAGGCCAGCCCAGACAAAAAGTTAATGAAACCTCCATCTCAACCAATCAAGTTGGTTTGGTGGCATGTGTGAACCAGCCCTAGGCAAAAATGTAAGACCCGGTCTGAAAAACAAGTAAACGAAAAGGACTGAGGGGACTGAGGGTACCGCTTAAGTGGTGGAGCTCCTGCTTAGCAAGCTTGAGGCCCTGAGTTCAAACTCCAGTACTGTCAACCACCACCCCCCCCAAAAAAAAAAAAAAACAAACAAAAAACCAGGGAATAGACTACTGGCTTTGACAGCATGGAGGTTTGGTGCCTTCCTAGAACAGTGTCCATACAATGCAGGTAAAAGAAGCCATGTCAGGCAATTTGAAGGGAGAAAGGAGTTGTGTAGGGTGAAAACAGCATGTGGGTGAGGAAGGAACTTGGTGTGAAAGGAGCCAGGAGGCTGCAAGTGTTGAGGGAAGGTTTGGTTTTCCTGAGGAATGTGAGAGCTTGTGAATAGGGTTGGGGATGGTTCACAAGGGAGGGAGAGAGAGAGAGATACAGAGAGAGAGAGAGAGAGAGAGAGAGAGAGAGGATGGAAGGAGAGGGGATGGAGCTGGAGCACAGGTGCACAGGTGGAGAGCTTTGACTTTTGATGGCAGCAGTAAAGTTTCCTCTTCACAGAGTTACTAGGAAAGATGGTGGATTATAGGTATAAAGGCAGCTGGATGGCAGCAAGGGTGCAAGTGGCATGGAGAGGCAGTG